GACTCCTTTGATTTATTTGACCTTGATTTACTTAGGCATGCATGCTTTTTTGGCAGTTACACACACTGACAATCACGCAATCCAATCAGCCACCTGTGGTGTTCTACTTTTTGATCGTTGAGCACTTAGTCGTTTGAAAGAATAAAAAACAGATGTCCTCTAGGTCAAGTCCTCAGATGCTCCTTTCTCACATGTTAGCATTCACTGTGCTGAGTTATCTTTTGCCAACTAGCATGTTTTTACATGCTGAAGTAATTAGGAAGCTCAAGAATCTTTGAAGAAAGTTTGTGTTTTGGTACTTTTTCTTTTCTCTTTAATGATTTTAATCTAAGTCTTAAAAGGTTATGTAAGGTCAGGTGATATTATACGATCGCAGTTCTGTAAAAGAAAACTGAGAAAACACACATTTCCAGCCCACGGCGTCGGAAAGATATTAATTGGTTAATAAATGAAGGGAAATATCTTGAAAATTGCCAAAATTAATCATAAATCGGATTCCTACTGTTACAAAAAAGGCAAATAAAAGCCCACCCGTTACCTAGCATTTATATGTGAAACTGTTGTGAGGCTTGCTACCTGATGTAAAGGATCTTTTTCATATGAACTCGTCTTAGTAGTAAGTCACTACAGAAGTCACGAGCAACATTAATGGTGCCTGTGCTTTCATTCAAGTGTCTGTGTTCGTTAGGCAGTGAGCCAGCATTCACAACTCCATGTGGTATATTGGTCAATTTCCCTTTGTTGCAGAAACATTGTGTGTTTTCAGCGTAACTCCATGCTATAATCCTCCAGCCTCTCCTTTCTCCTCAAAGTCTGCCATCTTACCCACAGCAGAGTTAGTTGGTACTCTAAGCTCTTGTTACAAAAAGGAATGATTGCTCTTACTGTCAAAGTGTTTTATCGATGTACAGTTCTCCAACAGGCCAGCCAGATAACAGGCAGTCAGGGGTTAACGCTGTGGCATTATGTTGCCCATGACTGATTTATAGGCATACTCCCTCTCACACACTCTCTGATGTGATTTTACAGTAGTGACATTGATCCAGGCCCACTTTGATCTTGCTCTTAGCTGTTGCTCCCTCGCGCTATCACCCTCCGCTCCCTGGTGGACAGACTCTGCAGCTTTTAACCCAGACTACCCCTCGTCTCATTTTATAAACCCTCCCATCTTTCTTCCCATCCTTCCATCGCTCCGTCCCCTGGTGGATCTGTAGATAATATAAGTGTTCTTTTGCTCATCGTAGCCTCTGCTGTGCTCGTCAGATTTGTTATTGTCGATGAAGCGTCCCGCTCCGTCTCTCAGCTCTCGTCGCTATCAGCTTCAACTAACCAGGTGTCGTGAGGGAGGAAATTAGTGGTGATACAACACAAAATGAAAGGGAGGCATCAGGAGAGAGCACAGGAAAGCAACACACCATACAAGCTTCTCCACGTTTTACTATCGGTTTCGTTGTGTCCGTCTGTTTTGATTTGAAATTGAAAAGAGAAATACTATCTAATAAACTCTTATCTTCAGTCGGAGTGGATTTTCAAGTACACTTTTATGTAAAGCTGTTTTAAAATGTTAACATTTATTGTATTCTCTTACGTCTTAAAGCAGGAAGAATATGATCGTGACTGGTATGGGGCTGTCACACCAACTTTGCACAAAGGAAAGGGCACATTCCCAACACACAGTTTATAGCCGACTGCTTCACTTAAGTGTGAGTCACAGCGAAGACACTTTATGGATTTTTGGTTGTATAAAACAATTCAGTACATTATTTAAATCAACTTGTACACATCAGCACATGTAGCAAAGTGGTTGATAGAAAATCATGTTGACACTGTCTGACCAGTAAACAATCATATATAATGAAATACAAGACAATACAATGTCTGTGCCTTGAATATAAATATATCCAAGTACCGACCAATACCAGGGTTGTTGTTTTTTTGTTTACTCATAACATATAATGCTTTACTTTCAATTAAACCAATCCATCCTCAGGAAATGTCAGGGTAACAAATTGCTGTTTCACTTCTAATCATATCATCCATTTTGTTGGTTGCTGATTAAATTAACACCTTGCACTAACATGACACAGTATAAATAATGAAAATGTAGTTGTCTTGAAACAATTTAAAAACAAACATTTCAGGCTAAGGATGAATGTCTCATGAAATTTAATTGCTTTTTAACGTTTGCAGCACTCATTTAACCCGCATTTCTTGATTGGAGACATTTCTAGGAACTTTTTTTTGTTCTTCAAATCCATAATCAGTGATTCACTCCCAAGAGACACCTCCTGTTGTTTTGGTCTTCTGGAAGCAGAAGTGTTTGCAAAACCTTAAAAACGTCTTAAATATCCCACCAACTGGATATATTTCAGTACAAAGTGTGTGGATTTAGTGCAATTGGTTGGTTTTATTACATTTTAAATATACAGTATTTTTTTTAACCAGCTTTCTCACCAACATACATTTACTATAGACTTGTCATAGCATTAAAAAAAAAATCATAGGTGCTTCTAATACCATTAATGATGTCCCTGTTCAAGTACTATAAGTGCAACAATCCACGTAGAAAAACGTTATTTGCTACATCACTGAACAAAAGAACAAAGATTATTGGAAACATTAATATGCCACTTGCTACTAAAACCCAGTTTGTCAGAAGTGCGCACAAAGTCAAGTATTGCATTACAGGATTATTCCCCAAGGCACATGTATTGTGTCCATGTAAATGTATGATTTAAATCATGCTTTTAAAATCCTTCAGATTGTTTGAAAGTCCAAGGATTCCCACCGCTCCTTTTACATGATACAGACTCACTGTTAAGACACACTTGTTCTAAATTACCTCCCTCTTAATATTCTATGTGTGTTCTGGAGGTCACACCTATAGATGTCACCACCTCAAATATGAAATGTCGGCAGATGAGATGCTTTGATATCTCACGCAGAGATGCATACCAAAGCAGGCGCACAAATACACACACGTGCACAGTGGGAATCCTAACACCAGCTTTTATCTTAGAGAAGTGATTTACTTTCCGATTACTCAAGATGCTCGGAGTTGCCCCCCCCCTCATTTTTCTCTCTTTTTTTCCACCATTATCCCTTCATCTCAGAGAACTTGCTTTTCTTTGGTAGCGTAAAACTCTCCCACCGCCTCTTTTTTTCTGTCTTCTCCATTCTGGCTCTCTCTTTTTTACTCAATTTGCATTCACGCCTCCCTGGTGGAACTAAACTCATCCCTTTTTCTTTGCATTCACTATAAATATAGTTCCCTTGAAGCATTTCCCCCTTTTTTTCTACCACTAATACCCTCTGTAGGCTAGTTAAATGATGTAATGAGAGAAAGTGAAGAGCAGAGAGGAGAGGAGAAAGAGAGCAAAGGATGAATGTTGAACAATTAATCTTCCCTTCATGTTAGTCTGAGCGATAGGGATGAGAGAAATGGAGAGGAGGGGGAGAAAGGCAAATTCAGGCAGGATTTGAAGAGAGCGTTAAGGAGTGATGGAGAGAGGGACACATTGGAAACAGTGTTTCGATCTTCATTTAATAATTGAATAATAATCCCCCTTGAGACATGACCTAGAACTGGGAGAGAGGGAGAGAGGTAGCATCAGAGTGAGGATGACACACTGCTGCCCCCTTGTGATTTTATGATGTCACCACTTTAACATATGAGCGTGTGTGTGTTCTCACATGCTCATCAGCGTGTGTATGATTTACAACTGCAACCTGTCTCTGTCACACAGATATAGGCCTGTGTCTGTGATGGGGAGGAAAAAAAGGTCTTTGGGATGTCAGGAAAGAATCTAAATCTATTTCACTTTGTCATACACACTACACTACACACACTCATACACTCGCAGAGACAGGTTCAGACCTTATCTTCCTGTCAAGACGAGATTCTTTTGGGGCTGACGCTGATTTATGAGCTTTGGGGGTGGGGGGAACGTGGAGAGGACGTTGACGTCTGACGTGAGCGCAATGTTGTGCTCAGGTTGATGTACGAGCGCTGGGGTTAGGGGACAGCACTGCGCTGACACCAGAGGTAGGAGCGGCGGCCCTGGGGCCCTCGGCCCGTACTGAAGAGCCAGCTCCGCATTCTCCGCATGCAGCAGCCCTGCAGCCACAAATACGCACACTCTTTCACACACACCTGCTTTCTTTGTGTTATTAATAACTCAATAACTTTCAAGTAAAGATTTATTTGACCCCGGGTGAACATTCAAGCTAAAACGCATGCATCCGAAACACAGAGTGCCTTACGCTGACATGTTATGATGTCTCTGCAGTGATTTATGTGTATGTAAAAATATTAAATATTCCACACATCATTTGGAAATAGGAGACAATAAGCATTCATGTTAAATGCTAACTGCTATACAATAAAACAAAAAGTGCAGCTACAATTAGATTGCACTACTCGTTGTTCCATTATTTACTGAAAATAGTGTGTGTTATGTGTGTAGTAGTGACACATTTTTAATGATATTGTTCATTGTAGAAACCCCATACTATGAAGAAACAAGGATACTGTTAATCATGCTTTGCACATACAAACATTGTAATTTATACTGCGTGTTGTACATCGTAATTACTTTAATTGCTCTGTGTGCTAAGAACTATGAGCTGCATTCAATGCATGTTTTGGCAATATAAATTATATTTATTGTTATTCACTATTATTAGTATCCAGGGGCAGTTTAGACATAATACTTAAAATCTGCCTCACAGGCAAAAAACTGTTATTTCCTCTCAAATTGCACAAACATTTAATGATTATCCGAGGGGGGAAACAATCAAGAACCTGTCCAATTATGATCTGTCGACTCTAGTTAATTCAAAATTGCCTGTTAAAAATTAATAGAAAATGCAATTATTTTTAATGTCTAAATGAAACACTTTCAATGGTTGTAAAAATGATTGCAATGATACAAAATGTATATTCTGCAGCGCTGTGTTTATATGAATTCTGACTGTTTGCCCCCTCTCTGTGTGTCCAGTCTGCGTAGGGAGGGCTACACGATGCAGGTGAACGTCAACGACTACCTGGACATCTACTGCCCTCATTACAACGACAGCCAGCGCATGGTGGGCACCGGCGAGCAGTACATCCTCTACATGGTCAGTTACCGCGGTTACAGGAACTGCGACCCCCAGCTGGGCTTCAAGAGGTGGGAGTGCAACCGGCCCCACGCCCCCCACGCACCCATCAAGTTCTCCGAGAAGTTCCAGCGCTACAGCGCCTTCTCGCTGGGATACGAGTTCCACGTTGGACAGGAGTACTACTACATCTGTGAGTGGAACCAATATCATGATGAAACGTATCAATATGAAGCTATCTTGAAGTGGAAACCAAAACATATTAATTACAGTAAAAGCTTGTGAGACTAGAGCCGTAATGTGACAAACACGCACTGTAATTATTTTGGGGATTTTGTTAAGACGTTAGGGAAGTTAAGACCCTCCTTAGGTAATTTCAGAGTAACGAATTGTTGTTTCATATCTAATCAAATCACCCTGCAGTAAACCCAGGCTCGTACATTCTGTTGATTGATAATCAAAATAACATACAACACTTCGTGGCAATTATGTCAAAGTAAAAATAATGCGTTTTTACGTTTAGAAGAATGCATTATAAGAATTCATGTTGTGCTGCACTCTTAACCTACATTACTTGAAGGAGACGTTTCTAAAAACCTTTTGTTTCTGCAATTCGGTAATAAGAAAGCTGATCGAGACACAACTCATGTTTGTTTGGTTTTATGCAGGCTTGTTTTTGAAAAACCTCAAAATGCCTTTATTTTTTCAATTACCATGTAATATATTCACATTCTAATATTCAGTCATAATGGGACATTTGGTTGGTTATATATTTTTGTAGACAAGACAATTTCACTTTTTTGACAGTAAGACAAAATACCACAATACCTGAGGCTTTTCCTGTCCTCTCTGTAGAGGAACATGTTATCTTTATAATAAATAGTTACAATTATGATATATTATAGAATACAATATTTTCTATAATATATCAGAAGTCGCTCAAACTATAACATTTGATGATTTATTTTTGCTGAAATGTACGGAGCCCCTAAAGGGACATTAAAAACTAAAAAACAGAGAGAAAAAAAAAAGTCAGGATAACGGGTTAGTATCTCGTGCGCACGAGCATTTCTTTTTTTTGAGAAAGTTACCGGTGCGCCAAGGAGGAAGTGGAGCGCGCAGGAGACAACCATTTCATTACAGACTGTTATGTTTACGTGGGGAAAAGACAGTGCATACATTATTTGAGATATATTTCGTACTCAGACTTCACTTTAAGGACATTTCGGTCACTCCAGGAGGCAGCGGGACGTGTAACTCAGAAAAGAGCAGCACCAGCGCTCAAAGAACTTTTACGCACCGCCTACACTGTGTTTACCTTCATTGAACAGCTATAAAGAGTGACCACAGTGACCTAGTGAACTTACCACAGTTGCTGTTTTCGGTTGGAGAAACTAGAACTGAATGCTTCTTTCACTCTGCAGTAATGTGTACAATAAATGCAGGCCTATTTTTAGGAAAGGCAGTTGTAAGTCACAAACAGTTGCTGTATAATTGTAGCTTGTGTGCTCCAGTGCTTCCTGCAATAGTAAAAATAACCCAAGCGTAGCGATGTAGAGAACGTTTGATGTTATGTCTAAAATTGTATGTTAGCTGTGTTTATTTTGGAACAGTCCCGTCTGGCTGATAGATGTTTCATGAGGTCAGCATCAGCGCCGATACTGATCCAGTTTGGATCGGTGCTTTACTTCTGATATCTTGTTTACATGTGAAGCAGCAAAACCCAACTTGTGTCCGTTTTTTTTAAGAAGACCACATAACTGAAAGCATTAAACGCATGTGAACACACATCTTTATCTTTGTGCATTCTGTGTTTTTACAGCCACGCCCACCCACCATCACGGCCGCAGCTGTCTGAGACTACGAGTGTACGTCTGCTGCTCCACGGGTAAGAGTATGTGAGTGTGTGTGTGTATGTGTGTGTGTGTGTGTGTGTGCGAGCATTAGTGTTTGACCTATAATGCAATGCTAGGACGTGTTTGCAGACAGTACCTGCATCCATCTGGCCACTCTACCCATCTGGCAGGCTACAGGCACACACACACACACACACACACACACACACACACACACACACACACACACACACACACACACACACACACACACACACACACACACACACTCACACTCACACTCACACTCACACACTCACACACTCACACACTCACACACTCACACACACACACACACACTCACACACACACACACACGCTGACTGCATACAGATGCATACATAATCTAAATACAGTCTAAAACAGGCAGAGCTATTAATACTCCTGCTGAGTTTCCCCTGCAGCATTTTCACTCGCGGCACAGAACCCCTCTTGCTCCTTTTTTTCCCCGCTTCTCTCTCTCTCTTTTTCTGACTCTCTGTTCTCTCTCTCCCTAGTCCCCATCCACAGCAGCAGAGAGGAGCAGCTCCAGCTTTGAAGCCCCCCCCCCCCCCCCCCCCCCTTCTCACCTCCTCTCTCTATTCCTCCCTCTTTCAGCCCTCCCCCCTCGCCCCCTGTCAGAATCCATTTATTGCTGTGTGCGGTCAGTGGGTGTCTGTGTATATGTAGTGTTAACCTTTCTATCTCGCTCTCCTGCCTTCCTTCAATCTCTCAACCCTCTCTCTCACACACACTCACTCACACACACTCACACATACACACACACACACACAGACTTTGATCCCTGGCCTGTCCGGTCCTTTTAACTTCCATAGCCCTGTAGTGTTAACCTCTCCTCCCTTTCACCCCCCTCCATCGCTCGCCATCCCTTTTCACACACTGCCTCTCTTCAGTTTGATCTGCCTCCCTTCACCTCCCATCTTTCAGCCTCTTTTTCTCTCTCCTTTTTTTCCTCTCCCTCTTGTTCTGCTGGTTATGTTGTGGCTTGTCAGTCTGTCTGCTCCGGGGTATTTTTTTTAACCCCCTGCTCCTTTTGCCTTGCTGCTCTCTCACATGTTTCTCTGAAGATGTCAGGTTGAATCTAATTCAAATCTTTTGGGTTGGAGCAGTGGTTTAACCCATGCTCTCTCTCACCCTCTCCCTCCTTCTTTTGCCGCCTCACTCAATGACCTCTGTGTCTCTCTTTCAGCCTCTGACGTGGATGATGAGCCAGAGCCTACAGAACCAGACTACACGCTTAGACCAGGCGTAAAACTTGAAGATAGTGGTGAGTCACGCACACACGTAGTCGTTGAGTAAGTGTGGAGCGCTTACATCCGGCCTGTCTGGATTCACAAAAACAGACATACACTTGTGTTTGTCATTCAGATCATAACAACCTCAAATCATGGCAATTATATGATACACACTTTTCAAGGTGCCGTTAAATGATTATTAATGTTTTATTCTTACTTTGAACAAATCCCATAAACTGACGTATGTGTCTGTAGCACTTTCTGAAGAGGTCACACACATATTAGTTCATTCTTCTTTAAAGCTCAGCGATTAAAGCATCTAAAAATAATATTTAGTTTGTTAAGTCACATCTACATTTGCATCTCTAAACAAATATCATTATTTTAATCAGTAACATATCATCTTTATCTGTCCTTTACTGCCTTATATTTGATTAATAAGCATGTAGGCATCTTTTAAAGACAATATTGTGTCCTTGGGAAGAAAGTAGAGCTTATTTTTCTTTCCAATCGCTTTCTGTCAGGCTACATTCAACCATGACTACATCCCCTAATAACAAAGTCAGGTTAGTCTGTGCAGCATATACATATAGATATATATAAATGAGCAAATCAACATTTTTAGTGATTCAAAGCTTCTCCCATTTCTATTATGGTTGCTGGAAAATTAGAGGGCACTTATCAGACAGATTGTAGTAATCAAACGTGCGATGACGCTTTAAATATAGGGTGGACAAAAATATGAAAATGGAAAAAATATTCCCTACCCAACCCTGATGTAAATTACACACTTGTCATTTGATGGGATTTATTGACAATAACAAAAGAATAACATACTGTAGCTTTATTATCTGAATACTGACAGCACTTTGAATGTTCGTATTTGACGGCAGAGAGACCAGTTCAATCACCATGCAGCATCAAAAGTCCAAAATGAAGTGCTTAAGTTAAATGTGGCATTTTCAAAAGACGGCTTCAGCAGAGTTAACTTCACAGCACCAGCTGGCTTGGCAAGCTGCTGATCCCGCTAAACAACTACATGCATATTCATCTCACACTCGCCATTTTCACCCGGATATGCAAAGAACACAGAGTTTCATGTTGAGTTGCAAAAAAAGAAAAAGAAGATATTTATCAGATTTCCTGTAACTTCTAAATCTTGTGTCCCTAGTTTGTTTGTGTTGCTCTGATCAGGGTTACGAAACTTGGAGAAATCATGGCAATCATGCTAAATCTGTTAGCACTGGAACTGTATAAAATGTGGCAGCGATTTCAGGGGGAAGCAGAGCAGTAAATCAATAAGTGACAGGCTTTGGGATGATCATGTGCTTGCTGCTCAGTGTTATGAGCAGCACAATAACAACATGTACAGATAGCTTGGCCTGGCTACCCATTACACATTCAGACATGTGGGGATCAATCATCATCCTGTCCTGCTTTCACACACCTCTCCAAGGTAGCTTGTAAAATATGGTTCTGTCAATGTGTGTGTGTGCACGCTCGCATGCGTGTCTGTGCATAATAAATCAGTGTGTTCTCATAACTGTCATAAGAGAACGTATCGCTGTGGCCAAGGCTGCATGTTGTTTGAGTTTGTGGAGATACCTCTCTTATTTTCCTTCCCTCCATCATTCTTTCATCTTGTTTTTTCCCCCTCACCCCATCTTCTTCATCCATGCCCTCCTCATCCTCCCGCTCTTTAATTCCCATCCTCCATTTTTCCTCCCGGCGCACAAGTAGAAACGCAGTGGAGGGGAAAGCCACCAAAACCAAGTTTATTCATCTTTTGATTTGAAATTAAGTTTTTCCCACTTCTAACATTTTAGTTTGATATTAATCTTAGGGTTATCAAATGCACGAATGTTGTCACAGTGGTGTGAGCTATATAATAATAGCTTTCATTATCACAGATCTAAGTAAAGTAACCCATAATTGTGTTTGTCTCTACATATACTTTCTCATCTCGTTTCCACGCCAATTGTGCACATGACTTTATTTTCTGCACGTATCAAAATATAGTCAAATAATCCATATAATACATATAACCTTTAACTGAAAATCAAACATTGCCGAATAAATTACAGGTTACACAGAAGAGTATACGGAAAAGAAAAAAGGTTATTTCCACAAAAGAACAGTTGAATAAATAAAGCATGTGAGCTACATGAAAATACTGCTAATATGAAGTGAACTGCTGAAACAATAGCAGAGCACAAATTACCCCGGCTCCTGTGGGTCATTTTCACCTGTAGTGTTCTGTGTTCCCAATTAAATTAATAGGATAACTCAAGTGGTTGAAGAGGAAGTGAGGAAGCCAGCGGGGAGCTGTGAAATGGACTGAAAACAAAGAAGCAGAGCAGTTTCCTATTCCCCTCCCTCGTCCTTCTGACTGCCGATTAGACTCATCACATCATAGCTTTAATTACTCTTATTCAATGTTCACACAAACACGAGGCAATGCGCAAACTGCTCCGTTCAAATCTGCCTGATTACCGTGTCTGAAAATGTTCAACTAAGCTGAATGTAGCAGGCTCTCTCCCCTTCACTGCTCACCGTTTATTTCCTGGTCGCTGCCCCTTTCAATCAGTGTCTGCAGCTCAACAGTGGTTCCCTCCTGAATACGGCCTCTAGTATTAGATTTCATTTAGATCTCATTTACAACACAGATGGAATGGTGCTAGCAGGTCCCTGTGCAGCCATGTGATTACTGATGTCTTTCAGTGGGAGGATACTCATTTACCAGCCCTGTTGGCTCAGGTTACTGCATCTGACGATCAGGTCCGGAGAAAATCTTTAATGAGGTTTATTGTCCTAATTAGCACTCCGTTAAGTGACAGTGTGGATTGGTTAGTTTGCCACTGAAACATCAGGCTGACTATCAGTAGGCAGAGCGCAGCACCAACTAACTGTTGCTTTTATTACATGTATTACTTTACATCCAAAAAGTGTTATATGCTTTAGTTATACTTTGAAAGGTCCCATATAAAAGTCTTGAAATCATATACAGTATGTAGCAAAAATGTATAATTTAAAGGTGGGGTAGGTAAGTTTGAGAAACCGGCTCGAGATACACTTTTTGTTATATTCCATGGAATGCTCTTAACATCCCGATAGCAATGAATATCTTAAGTGCTTTGACAAAAAATCCATTAAAAAAGGTCATCTGTGGAAGCTGTAATACTGTAAAAAGCACGACCAATCATTTTAGCCGGCCCGGCTAAAATAACTGGATGGCCTACCTGCCTGTCAGCCTTCCATCTGTGCACAAACTTATCTCGTGCCCTCATTGGTCATGTGTGCGTTCGTGTGTGTTGGAGGAGCGGCTCTGTAAGGAAGTGGCAGATTTTTTCCGGCTGTGTATTTTCAAATTCTAGCGATCTCGAGCTGGTTTCTCCAAAATTACCTACCCCACCTTTAAGTGTAAAAAATACATGTGTGCATTATATCTTGCAATATTATTACCACCGACAATCAACACCCAATGCTCTCAACAACATGTCATCAACTTCAGATCCTTATAAGCTTGTAACTACTGTTAAAGGAAGGTGTACATATTATATCTTGTTGTGGCAAATTATTCTTCCTTTAGTATGTATATTTTTTAGATTGCTTATAAAGGGCATGACTTGCAAGAATATTCCATAATGCAAAAATGAAACCAAAAGCATCATGGAGCTGAAAAAGTTGTCTGCATGTATTAACTACTGCATGTTTCAACCATTCTGATATGGAAAGCCTACTCATTTTTTTGCCTCCATACAGGTATAGTCAGAGTCGCCAGAGGGTGCCGTGTAATAACATCATTTATATGAACCATGTGCCGGTCAGATGTCTAGACATCTTCAGGTGTTATCTCTAAAATCTCATTGGGCAGAAACATAAAACTAGCTTTTTATTTTATAACAAATAGCCTGTCGACCAACCATTAGTCATTTTCTGTATAATTAACACTGGCACCCCGCTCATTGTACATGTTAAAGACTAACCACCAGTCACAAAGAGAACTACCCAGCATCTTAAAATAGTTGTCGACTGTCCTTTGTGGTTCTGCAGGAACTTTAATAAGTCTTGAGTTGAAAGACATGACTATAAACCAGTCAGGGAGGGTCTATTGAAAGATACTATAGTATCAATTATGTCTCTAATCCTCCCAAACTTTATGGGGTTGCAATACTTAATCACTGGATTGACCCTCAAATGAGGACATTCTGATTCGGGAACACCACAAATCCTAATGTCGAACATCCCAACATAGTTGCATCAACACCTGTTGACAACTACAATTAAAGATCATTATTTTCACACATTTGATGTTACAAGGCATGGATTGTGTAACAATATACAGGTGGTTCCAGGTCTATCATTATACATACATAAATAATAGTGTCTGGGGTATTAAAGTGCCATATTCATATAGTTTTGTATAAAATGTTTTATGATCCTAAATGCCAATTAAAAAATATTGTATGTGAGAAAAGTAAGAAATACATTATATTACATGCATATAGTTTTATACTTACGCTCATACAGAAAACACTGCAGTCAATTAGCTACTGACACACACACACACACACACACACACACACACACACACACACACACACACACACACACACACACACCCCACACTAGGACAGATACTCAACACAATCAGAGACTAAAATATCTCCTTGTTCTTGTCAACATGACATTCAAATTCATAGACGCCTCTAGGTGTCTGAGCTTTCTAATTATCAGGCGGATGTTGTCTGCTTTTCTGTTCCAAAATGTAGCATGCACAAATGCGTGCACACACACACACACACACACACACACACACACACACACACAAACACAAACTGAAATACACACAGCTTACTCGCTGATGTTTGGCGCAGGAACATGTCAGAAGGTCATGATGCACGTCACATGGCTCCTGCACAAACATCGCACCAATAACACGTGCTGATAATGATGTGTTTATCTGTGACAGCTAGTGAGAGACAGTGTGTACTGTAAGTGTGTATGAGGCGATTAGAGCCACACTTTAGAACCGGTCTTGCGAGATGCTCCGCAGTCTGCTGTTTTGTGTCTTCAAAACCACATTTCTATGTCACTCAGCGCCACAGTAACAGTGTCCTGACCCCCCCGCTGCTTGCTCGGTTACAGAGCGGTCAAAGCATTTAACCTGAGCTCCACCGCTGCATAGAGCTCATTAGATTCGCCAGCAGAGCATACCAGAAGAGGCCATCTCTTAAACCAGGTGTCAGCCAGTCATTACTCTGCTGTCTGACCCCCGGAGCAGCTGGAAAGCTAGATATGGCACCGAGTGGAAACACTGAGAATCTCCCCACTCCACCATTAACACAATGGCTCCTAATCAGCATCAGCCGTCCCGTGTACAGACAGAAAAGTGTGCTTCTGTCTGGCCTCAAGTCTCATTAATCAACTGACTTCAGAGGGTGTGTCAGGCCGCACGTGTGTCTCATAAGTGTTGGCGTGCTGAGAACTGTCTGGTGTTTTTCGTACGACTAGACATCAACGCAACAAAAGACTGCGTACTATTTTTAGGTCATCATTCGCCAGGTGTACACGCAGGGGGGTTTCCTTATATACGGTGTGTCTTGTGTTAAAGTATGCAAGTGTGTTACAGCGTGTCTCTTTATTAGAAGGATAAGAGCTTCCTGATAACAGCTGCAGCAGTCTGTAATGGCACTGCTGATGTCTTTGTACTGGACTTGTTATATTTCAGTGGGAGTGTGTAGCTGTGCTGTAAGCTGCCTTTTTTTCAGTCAGTCAGTTTCATTAAAAAAGTGTTTTACTAAAAGCCCTGCTGTGTAAGCAGATTACAGTATACCACAATAAGAAGCACATATAGACTTATCTTCCCTTTCCTTGTACTGTAATGAGTTTAAATGAAGACATCACTCTGCTTTATTCTCTTCTTTCTCTCCGTTTCTGTTTTTCCAGATGAATATAACCCTTTCATTCCCAAACTGGAGAAGAGTGTCAGCGGAAGCAGCCCGTCCAGGGATCGCCTTCTCCTCACCGTGACGATGCTCCTTCTGGCCGCTCTCTTCATCTCCTAGCAACGGCCATCCCATCAGTGTCACCATGCCAACTAGCCTTGGGAGGGTGTACAGTATCAGCGGGTGGGGGAGTCGAGGGAGGAGGGGGGGAGTCGGGAGAGAGAGGAGAGTTAAGATACCACAAATAGAGCAGAAGGCGAAAGGAGCAAGAAATTAGAGTTTTCAAGCATCAGTGTGAATGTGTGTGTATGTGTGTGTGTGTGTGTATGAGGAAGTGTGTGGTTTTCGTGGAATTGAAAGACCTTGAGGCACAAACTGAACCGTATGTTTTAAAGTCAGCCTGTGCATACAGATGCAGGTGTGATAGACTGTGTTTGTGTGAGTGTGTGTTTGTGTGTGTGTGTGTGTGTGTCCATGTGTGTCTGTGTGTGTCTGAACAAGCCACAGGTTGAGCTTGTTGAATCATGCACACCACACAAAGCATTTATACACCAGGAGAGGCCGGGCTGAAATCCTAGTAAAAAAAAAAGCATCAAATCCACCCAACCAATTGAAAACCATTTGAAGACTTTCCCCTGGATGTGATTGGCTGAAACACTTCCTTAGAGCTAGTTGCCATAGTTTCTTGCAACAAGAATTAAATGAACTGAATCAGATAGATTTAATGAAAACTGAACTGAAATTGCCTTTTTTTTGTTGTTGTTGATGTTGATGCTGGAGACTTTTCCCAGTCCACGAAAGAAAAAAGGAACCAGCTGACGAACTGAGCAGGTCCTGTGTAGGAGACTAGTCGAAGTAGCTGATAGTTCATAAACACACCCTGGGACTCCAGACGCCAGTGTTTTAGTTTTCATCTCCGGTGTCTGCCGTGTCATCCTGTGTTCACCATCAGCTCGTCTCTATGGAAGGGGCTGGACGGGGTCCTGGGGAAACACAAGAGCATTTAAACAATGAAGCATTCACTCAAACAAAACAAGAGGGGATTTACTGTAGATGTGCCATTGACACGGGGGGGTTTGTTGATGTTATAAGTTGCTGTGTCACTTTTCTGTCCTGTATTTGAAGTACCGAGGTTAAGGAAGAACACGATGGCTACAGAGCAGCCATGGAAACACGCAGCAATACTGCCCTCCTCTCAACACACTGCAGGCTGTTTTGAGGAGAGCAAGAGGAACAGGGACAAAGGAGGAAGGACAGTCCCTCACACAGGCGTCTATGAGCGGGTCCAGTCCTGGACAATAAGCAGCCGTCCACTGATCAATGTGGCGCAGCAGCCCGCTCCACCAATGCCATCTCTGTAAACCCATTCATCAGATCCCACATGTAAACGGTTTTCTGTTACTGTTTGATTGTTAAGTGTGCCTGAAAGAGAAAACATTTCTGAGTGTGCCACATGTGTGTTTGAGATTGAGAGAGACTATTTTAAATGGTACTAACGGTCAGAAAATACATCCACATTATGTACATCTTATACGTATGAAAATGCAAAAATAAAATAAAAATAAAAACACAAACTAAAGCAACAAGTAATATACAGTACATAAAACCAAGTGCTTTGGTGGGGAGTTGCGGCGATTCAAAACTCAAACAACTGTACCAGTCGGTTGCTTCAGCATAGTTTCCATGGCAACTAGCACCTTATTCACCATGGTTACCCCACCCTGCCAACGATGGACTCTAGTAGGGCATGGCTTACCATAGTAGCTGATAAAAAACGATGATGATGGTGAAGATGATTTTAGTGATGATGAAGACCTTGATGGACTGCGAGCTGACCGGCTCACCCACCGGCATGTGAGGCGTTTAAGTACGCGTGTAAATGTCATAACGGACAAAGAATGGAATAACAATGTCTTTACATTTGCCAAGGTGAAATGTATTGTAAGCATTTTTACAAACTTGAAGCTCAGTTTCCTTGTGGTTGTTTTTTTAAATCTTGTTTTTTAATCTTTTATTTTTTAATTGCTGTGTTGAATTTGTAGTTGTCTTGAGGGGGGGGGGGTTGGGGTTGAGCCATATGTAAACCTGGGCTGCACTGTGTGAGTCTCTTTGTCAACTTTAAGGTTAAGCTATCTTGGGTTAGTAGGATTTCCAGAAATATTAATATTGACAAGTCATCCCTTTTTTTTTTCTAGTGACCCCTTTAAAGGACAGTTCATCAATCCTACACATAAGGATGACTTTACTCATGTTGTCAAACGTTTCCTGTCACACATAGGGAACTTTTTAAAATCGGAGAAAAAAATAGACCTACTGTTCAACCAAGGGATGATTATACTTCTTGAACAGGTCAAATTATCCAGTCATCTTAATCAGAACCGGAAAATCATAAGAAAAAAGTCCAAAATCATAGCAGATATTGTGCGGTAGAATTTCAATTTTTTGCTTAACGATCCCATGACTCGTCAGATTTGTGTCTGGGTTAAGTCGACCAGGTTGGGAACCACTTATAAAGTTTTATTTTCATCAGTGTGCTAGTAGTTCTGGGTAACCTTCCCCAATGGTTTGTGACAGTTAGCTAGATTATTTTCTCCACAAAACTTTGGAGAGCACACATTTTTTAATGAATAGGAATATGTAGCTCCTGTCACCCCAGACAAGAGTCTATACCTTTGGAAAAAAACATTGATCATGTAGTTTTGGAGCATCATTGAAATCGATACATTAGTGTGTTTAAAAACCCCGGTGTATATATGGCTCATGATGGGAGGGTTGTGGGTCCTGGTGTGGAGGGAGAGGGTTACAAACTCTTCAAGAAGTTGCACTTAAGAACTTAGACACGAGAATAAGAAAGTGTGTGTCCGTATGGATGTGTGTGTGTGTGTGTGAGAGTAAGAGCCTATTTCTGTTCATCACTTCATCTCTGTGTGCAGAGCTTTAGCATCAGAGGCTGTCTGTGTTAGTGTGTGTGCTGATGTCAGTGTGTACATGTGTGTGTGTGTGTGAGCAAATGAATGGGTGAGCAACAGTCTCTTTGTTTCTGCTCTTCCTGTGTGTGTATGAGCGAGAGTGTGTGACCGAATGTTGTCTGGCAAAAGAAAAAAAAAGCATTTAATAGTGTTGGAAACAACAATTACAATCATGTTTACCTTTCGACTGGAATGACTTTAAATGAACTTGAAAATAAAATGTAAAATGAACAAACCATAACAGAGGTTATAACAATGATCATGATAACAAAATAATAAGCTTACAAATATTACTTTTAACAAGATGTGTGTTTGGCTCTTTATTTTTCTCCCTTTTCCCCCCTCTCCTGCCCTTTTCGCTCTCTCTTTGAGGATCTGAAAAAACAGAAAACATGCATGGAGCTAATCCAAGACAGCAGATGGAGGGGTTGCAGGAAATGTTTTTCCTGGTATATTCACCTCTCTGTAGATAATGTTGTTTGGGAGCCCACAGATGTGATTTTCCATATCAAAGTTGGTGTGGCGCTCTCTCCCTCAGCAGTAATACCTTTACACGCTCCGATTAGGAGTGATAAGCGCTTCAATCACCAGCCTCACATTTGAATGACAATGGGTCCAACCTGCAGTGTGTACCTGTATGTCTGCGCTGGTGATTGAAGGATAAAACTGCTTCTAATGTCAGAGCGAAGCCAGGCTCACTGATCTTATGCAACAGGTTTTTGTTGTGCCAAAGATATCTTTGACTGAGTGACAGGACGGCACAAGGAAGAAGATCGACAGATAGAGGTCAAAGTAGTCATGTTCACAGAGACAATGTTCTGGCAGCAAAGTCAAACACGTTGAGGGTTGGGCTTTGGAAGCAAAGTAACCATAGCTGATGTGAAACAAAGTGTAATAATCAATACTTAATAGTCTTCGAAATGGTGCTTTGATAAAGGGGGAAAAAAAGTATCCATAGGAACTTTTCAAACCAATCCTGACCACCTCTTTGTTTACCATATTTATTGTACCAGTCTACATCTAAATTCAAAGAGTGTTTGCTATTCAATCACATGTTTTTTGGCTAAATTGTTATTTTAATGAAATACAGAAGTTCTGATTTGTCTCTGACTGATAAGGGAGGAATACGTTGGAGGATTTAGTCAAGTTTGATGCTTTATTAACACTCATTTAGTGTCTTTTCAGGTTTATAAAAATGATGTAGAAAGTTCCCATTAAAACGTATTGCATTTAAAAAGTTCAATGAAACCCATATTAGCTTTGTATTAGTGGTAGAGGGATATGGGCATGTTGTTTGCTTTATTAATACTGCAATGACGTATCCTTATAATCTCGCTGATCTTGTGTTTGAAAAAGAACAACATAATCACATCTTTCAGGAAACAGATAGATCATCAGCCCAGAGGAATATGATCCAGGCCGTGAGTCAGACATTTAAGAAGAAAACTTTTGATGGATGAATGCTATGACTGGCAATGCTTAACAAACCATATTCTGGAAACATCAATTATTTTCCAAGAATCACCCTGAGTCATTTTGGGGTGTAAACAAGCTTCCAGACACATTTTTTATGATTTTTAATATAATCAAAACACTCCCTTCTTATTAATCTCAGACTATTCTTCTTATCATGCCTGCTTTTGTGGTTGGGTTGAATTCCAACAATAACTTAATTAGCAGGCCTGAATAATTGATGCAGTTTAATTGAGGTAAAAGCCTTTCTATTCTGTTTCCCCATCTTGAAGCTGATGCAGTTTCCAATCACATTCACGCTGATCATGATTGACCAAAGCTGGAAAAAAGGTGTTTTAAATAGTGCAACATTTGCAGGATAAACAATTGTGAATTCACATATTTCTTGGGGTTTCACACATATCTTTAGATTTCCATACATCAGTAACCAGTGGTGACCACTTGGGGCCGCTGTTCAGTCACAGCTCTGGTGAGGGGAAGTGCAGCCCCCCCGATGCCCCTGCCTTGTAATCCTTTATTTTAATACATAAATCCATTAAAGCCACAATGGCCATTGTGTAACTGGAGTCACTGGGATTAAACATGCAGATGTATTTAACTGGGTTATGATATAACTACAGCATGTTGAAGCAGGTTGGTTCAGGGAGAAGGTTGGCTGTGGCGCCAAGCTGAAAATGTGTCTTGTAGAGGCGAAGGACATTTACTCTAACATACCAACCTTTGAAATATTGTGCATAATACATCCAAGGCTTTCGAAAAATATTCCAGTCAAGGATGTCAAGGCAGCGTTTTTGTCTGCATTCATTTATCACAATGAGTCAGGCTGAAGAGAAAATGTCCTGCCTACTCTGGTTGTGTTTGTTTAACAGAGGAACCAATGTTATGCATGGTCAGGCTTGTAAATATAAAGCTGTTTGCTAAAGGCTTGTTCTACCAATATCTGAGACACACACATTTACAAAGTGCTACCTTTTTGTGAGGACCTCTGACATTGCAATTAACTGTTTAAAATGCATTTGAACACTTACTCTCAAAGAGAGGAACACTTAAAGCTTCATTTATAGCTGTGTGTTAAAGGGTTAAGGCCTACATGAAGCTGTCATATGCGGAAGCTCATCTGGGCCTCCTCAAATGTCTCCACACTTTAGTAGTATTTAAAGTCCTGTAACATTAAATAAATACTATGATTAAATAGAACTCAGGTTTTATTTGCGTAGCTCAGGCCTTCTGACCTTAAATTAATTAATTAATTATGATACATTGTGACCGACAGTGTTGTGATTACATAATGAAGAAACATACCCACAAATAGCTCTGAATAGATACAGGTTGTAAACCAAAGTGAGCAAACCCACAATGATAAATAATGCTTTAGCTGGGGAACAACTGGTGAGAATGTTAGGTCAAAGTTGAACAACAAAGTCTGGCTGACAGTTTTGGTGTCACGGTCTGTTTAGTTTTATTTTGAAATGTCTTACCTCTTTGTGTCTTGTCTAGTTTTACCTGTCTTTAGTTTCCAAGTGATAGTCTGATTGTGTTCACCTGTTGCCCTTGTGTCTTGTCTTGTGATGGTGTCTAAATGGTGTCTTCCCTTGTGGTCCTTGTTGGGTCGTCGTCGTTGGTTTCCCATGCGTGTTCCTGTTGGTTTTCCCTGGGCACCTGTACCTCCTGTTCCTGGTTTTGTTCCCGTTCCCAGGTTTGTGCCTTCAGTTTGTCCTTGTTATCGGCTTTTTTGTGGATTAAAGCTAGCTTTTAGTCAAACTACTTGACCTCTTCTTTTGTACTGCGTTTGGGTCCTGCCTTTCTACCAAACATTGACATTTGGTATAGATAGGAAATGGAGTGTCTGGGCTCTCATTTTATCCAGTTCACCTTTTTGTTCTCCTTCAAACTAATTTGACTAACCTGGGGTTTGTTGTCATCTGACCACTCATGGTTGTTTCTCCATTGGCCACGATTTAATGTGGTGCCTCCTTCTGATGTCTTAACAACAACTTTGCTTTGTAAAAGGTTATCAGAATCAAAAGAACCAATGACCTGAGACACAAAAGTCTATACAAACTGCAAATGTTTCATTAACATATGGTCTTCATAATTCAGAAATCATCCGCCTCCCTACACCCATCCATCTGCAACACCCAAAGAACACATCATCAAAAAATGTGAAACAGATTATCACCCCGCATTGACACCCGCCCTGCTACCCGCCCTGCTACCCGTGCTCTCAGTGACGTTTGTTTGGTGATGAATCCCGGTACTGGCACAGCACCGAGGCAAGAAAAACCATCTGCCTTATGGCTCCTGCCTAAAAAAGCACGTTCCTTGACATGCTTTTCTGTCTTCATGATGATGAGCCTTGAATAATGTGTGCCATTAAGTCAGAGATGTTTCTCTGAGCATAAGGAAATGCGCGTGGTGTTTGGTGCTCATCGCTTCAGAGCCACAGAAGGTGAAAGCCAGAGAAGTCACTGATGTCACGTTGTGGAGGTGTTAAGATCTCTGTTAAGATCGCGGAAAAGGTAGGACCCAAATGCAGACTATAAAGAAGGTAAAAGGTCTAGAAACAAAAGCAAGCTTTATTTAAAAGCTGATGAACATAAACATGGCACGAAAAAACATAAGTAGCACAAGGTAGCATTAACAAACAAAACTGACCGTGACCAACATGGAGGGAGACAGGAAAGACAAACACAGGAAGCAGGACCAGACAAGACACAAGGAGGAAAACATGAGACAGGGAGAACAGAACAGCAAAATAAACCCAAAACTTAACACACAACACTCAAATCATGACAGGAGGCACCTTGGGCAAAACCCACTCACCAACCAGCTCAAACATCACGTCTGTGTGGTTGATCACACTTTACATGGAGGTACAGTAAAGCCTTCCCCATATCTCTAAGAAACTTGGTGGACTTAAGGGTTTCCTTTACAGCTTTCTATAAGTTCAACAACTGTTTTAAAGCTTTTTCATGTTTTGTTTGGATTTAAGTCAAAAGGAAATAGCTCATACCTTGTTTTTGTTCTTGTTTCATAACTCTGCAAGGTTTAAAGTCTTAAACACCCACTTGTACACAGGGCCCATACATCGGTTACAGCATTGGCTGATGCTCTCACTAGTGCTTCATAGAGATCCCATAGGATTTTAAAGATGCAATTTCATCACTGATCACTGATGCCGATCATTCCACTTCTGTAACCTCATGGTAATAAACGCTAGAATAATAATCAGTGTAACTTTTCATATAAATTAACTTCTGCTTTTCTATTCAGTATTAATTCAACTTGAAACATGTGTGTGAAACTTTTAAAATGTCATGAAAACTTGGGAATATCACAGGGAAATCTTTCTTAGCACAGGAAGTGATTTGTCTTTGTTATTCAAGTGGCAATAGTCAGTTCCTTGGAATATAAAAAGAACAATTGTGTGCTGATATATTGAAAGCCACCATGGCTGGGTAGATATCGAAAACAGAACAACTTAAATTGTGACAAACAAAAGAACAAAGAAAGACATCCAGAGTTTCACCCTGCTCAACACAATGCATCAAACACTACTGCAAAACACCACCGTAAATGTCTTGTTTGGTGTTACTTAGTTCAGGATTTGTGTTTCACTTTAGAAATATATGTTTTACATACCTTTACGTGATCCTCGTACATCATCTCTCTTTCACATTCACACTGTACGCTTCTCCACTGAGAGTTTGGACTCAGCTGACCTTTTTATTGCCGACAGCTACCAATGTAACGTGTCTTCCCCTGACAAGCAGAAAACAAATGAGATTTTGATTACAGCTTCTCAAGGCCTCTTTCTTTTCGATATGTTTGA